TAGTATGAAGATTTCTGTCTTCTGGGTTGTTGCGCTGTGTAGTCTGGTCGATGTTAACCGACGTTTCAGAGGTCATACTGCCTACATCATCAGGGCGATGAGTATGAAGATTTCTGTCTTCTTGGTTGTTGCGCTGTGTAGTCTGATAAATGTTTACCAACGTTTCAGCGGTCATACTGCCTCCGTCATCAGGGTGATCGCCCTGATGACGGAGGCAGTATGACCTCTGAAACGTTGGTTAACATCGACCAGACTACACAGCGCAATAACCCAGAAGACGGATATCTTCTTAAGACATGTTAATAACATTGTCCGTGCAGACTTGTCAGTAGATGCCAACGTTTATCCAAAATGTCTCCAGTCCACATGGCACCAAAACCCGCAAGAACATCATCATTATCACCACCACTAAAAAAGTTTAAATCTCACACGTCTTAATAACAGTGCCCTGCTTGGGGATTATCCTGTGTTAGGGAATTAGTAAATCAGACAGTTGGTTGCTTGGTTCTATTTTTAAAATGTATTTTCGTGATACTAAGTTCTTAGAAAATTCGTTAAATTTATGCACTAATGAAGACCTGCTATGAAGAGTGATGAGAAACTGTATTTTTCATTGGTATCACTGTTTTAATTTAAACTATGTTTTGATAGGGTAGGTACATATTTATGTGCAATTGACTACACAGGAATTATTTCACATAATTAATTATTTATGTGAATTGTAACTTTTTATTTTTTCCGACGGGACAGAGTAAGAATGAAGGATTATATGTATCTTAAAGTCGGGAAACAAAATTTCTAAAAGAGTCCTAAAATGTGCTTTGTTATAATTCATGAGGGTAGATTGGAAATATTAATATAATCTATCATCATAATACAGAAGTCTTCAAAATGTGTAGTCCATATCATTTCATAAGTTTTATCACTCTGGTAAATCTGTAATGTACTGCATTTTTATTTTTTTTTTGGTTTTCTTTTCCGTAATTAATCCTTCAATCCACATTTATTGTGTCGCTATACCGAAGATGCTGTCAGACTTTTGTGAGCACAGAAATGGTTTCATAAAGGCAATGTAATTTCTTAACCAGCTGAGCGACCAACAGTTTCTCATGAATGACTGCTTCATGAAGATAGTAATTTCGTCCTCTCTCATTCAGTGCGTCGCTATCATCATAATCATCATTGCAACTGCCATCGTCACCACTTGTTACTGTGAATGGCAGATTTTCACTGAAGATGGCTGTCTTCTGGGTTATTGCGCCGTGCAGTCTCCTGAAAGTTTACCGACACTTTAGAGGTCCATGCTGCCTCCATCAATGCGCTGATTATTGGGCAGCAAGGACCTCGGAAACAGTGGTAAACATCTGCCACAGCAACCCAGAAGACAGCCATCTTTATACTCGCCACCGTCAGAACCTGTGTTACCACCAAGTTATCACTTTTTTTTCCAATTTCTTATGTTCTCTGTCTCTTGTATGTGCATCTTTATCAAATTATGACATCTCTTTCTGGTTTTCCAGTAGGGTGTGGCTTTATTTCTGTCTAACCTTTTCAGGCTAAATGATAATTAAATATACCACCTGCTTTAATTAAAATGTATTTTTCATCAGTCAACATGCAACTCAAAAATCATTATATTCTTGGCATTGCTTACGTGTTTGTTTAATGATTCAATGCTCATATTATAGGTATAATGGTGAAATATATGTATATCATACCTATTATATGATCACTGTATAATTAAATAATTAAAGGAGTATGCAGCGCCAAGAATATGATGATTTTTTTGAGTTGTGTGTTGACTGATGAATACATTGTAGTTCTGTAAGACTGCAACAGGATGCCGTCTTACAAATTACCTGCTTTGATTTTTAGTAACTACATTTTACCCATAGAGTGTATTTATGGGTTATGTAATATTCTTAGAATAGATTATTTCCTTAAACAGCATTGACCAGTTGATCTTCATAATTTGTGTTGTTGGGTTATTTTCTTTGAGGCAGAAACTGAATTTTTAAATACTATTTAGACTATATATTAAATCTTGTCCGTCTAATCACAATAAATTCTTATTAAATATTAAAATATTACAATAATTAACATTTAAAATATTAAATGATGTTCTTTATCGAAATATTCGATTTACATTAGACCATCATTTTTCATGTTTCACGACATGTTTCAGTTCCTAAAAGAACCATCCTCAGGTGTATATAATTAAGATTTAATATATACTTATTATATCACAATATGACGCAACTTTGCCATCTTACTATTTAAACAGTATTTGGCTTCAAAAGGTTATGGTTTAGACAGTATTTGGCTTCAAAAGGTTATGGCTGCTTTCTGTATTGTACTGTTTTCCATTCACATGACATGAAAAAACTACTCTTGAAGAATGTCATCTCAGTAATTTTTGTTAAGTCTCTCAGTTCATGTCCACGTTTCAGGTTCGTGTTGGTATTTCACAAAAGGATTTTGCTTCTCTCGTATGTTCTAGCATTGTGATTGCTTCACTTATTTTCCTGCAGTTTATTACATCACAGAAGACAAGACAGTAGCAATGAACTAGACAGCAAAGAGAATAGCACAAACTATGGAACACACCAAGACAGAAACTCCCGAGCCCTCAGGAGTGCATCACACTACATTAAGTGAACAGATTGAAGTTCAGCTGCAGTTTACACCATTAATCAAAACTTTATTGTAACATAAGGACTTAAGTACATTAGTGGAAGCGTCATTGTGCACTTTTCTTGTGGATCATCATACAAAGCCGTCTCCTGAGGCTTTGTAATGTTTTGAAAGTAGTTTCCTGTTCAATCCGCTGCAGGTTTATCGGGCCTGTCGAAGCTTCACTATCTGCCGTAATTTCAGGGTTACTTTTGGCATTTGGGAGGGATATTCTGCACACTGAGCATTTATTTAAATCACCAGAAATATTTGTATGTTGATGAAAGCTAGAAGAATGCATGCCGAGATTAGTTTGAGATTACCATTACCTTTAAGTCTAGATATAAAAATAAGCAAAACAAACAAACTGTTAACACTATAAATGACGCTAGTGCCAAACGCGTTTTGACCTCAGTAGAGTAGTGTTTATTTACATTCCATAGATCCTTCTTAAGACTCAACCAAAGGATGTGCAACATGTCAATTCATACAATATTCATACACTTCACAACTTTCAACACAAGTACAAGAACGTATTTCACATATCAATGTACATAAATTTCAGATTCTGCAATACAAGTATGAAAAATAATTTTACAAAATTAATATACATAAACCTCAGAATTTTAAATATAAATACAAAACTTGCTTTACATATACGTAGATTATGGATATAAAGCTTAAACATTTTCAGCAGAGATGAAATCAT